CAAAGAGACTCTCATCATTTCATGATTGCTGTTTGAAAATAATCAACGGAAACTCAGAAAATCCCACATCAATTTAATCAGTTGCCAATGCCGTAAAGACCAGGGCATGTAAACTTGTGCGTAAATGTTTGGACAATGATATATGTGAGAGCTTTCAAAGTTATTTCGAGCTACAGCAGCACAAGACACAAACGAGAGACAGCGAATGTTTAATTAGGCTTCCAGGCATCAAAACAGATTATGCTAGGAAGTCGTTCCATTTTATGGGTGTACAGCAGAACAACGAATTACCAATAGAAAAACCAAATCTTTTAAGCAATAAGATGGACTGTTAAAGAAGCATTTTAGTTGAAAATTGTGATACTATAAGCATGGATCTTTTAAATGTTGTAATTACTGCTAGGTTTTTTAAGAGTTCTTTATAGGTTTTTATCTTTCTTTTATTTTTATTACAGGACACATATTGACAACAGCATTTTTGTTGTTTAAATGTTCATCCTGTATAAAGATTCGTTATATTATTATTATTATATTTATAATTGAAATTAGTTGGCTTTATTTAGCTTTAGTATAGCTATAGATTGTTCCAACTTTAAATAAAGAAAGAATCACAGTGTGTTCAGAGGAGTTATACAAAAAAGTTATATCAAGCCATGTAGATGGTCATCAGAAAACTTTTTTGCTTTTATGTGAGGTAGGATTGGGTCCAACCTCCCTTGAGCTTGATGTTGGGGTGAAAAAATGATGTTTCGAGCATGATGTTTGACTGTAGTCTTGATTCAAATGTTTTTTATGGGAGTTGCCCCCATTTCTGAAAGTCTTCAGGGCGTGGCAACGCAAAATTCCCTAGGGGCTACCCCCAAGAACACCGACCCGCTTTTCCTTGACAGGGCCTTCACATACAACCAGGCTTCGTCGTTGGCTAAACGACGATTCCCTATCTGTTTTGGCAGAAAACTTTGATATCCGAAGGTGCCCTTTCTGCAGTTCATGCCCCCGCCGCATCATGAAGCTTCCGGTGCCTCTGCCCTGTGAAATAATAAATGCAGCACTGTAACAAATTTTGAGAATTTTCAATCCTGGGGCGTCGTGGCTGGAGGCGGGGCCACATGGCATGTGCTTCGGAAGTTTTCTGGGAAATTTTGTATCAAGACATGTTCAAGAAATAGCATACAGTCCCTTTAGTAGTTCTCTCAAAAATCAAAATATAAGCAGAAAAATTAGTGCAGGCTGAGCAATGAAATCGAAAGTTTACAAAGAAAGTTATACTTCGTGTCGAAATTCATTCGCTCGGAATATCTTTAAATGCTAACAATATTTCCGCCGAAATATATCGTCCGAAATTTAAAAAGTTTAAGATCCGTCGCCTCCACTCACTGGACTAGAAAAGCACGAGATGGCCGAACTAGTTACGAGACTCCCTTAGGTCGTCTCGACCTGTGTTGTGTCTAGACGTCTGTCGTTGTTTTCGGAAGTAGCAAAATGGCTGAAGGCAAAGACCAAAAGGGCGACTATGAAGACTTTCGCCTGCAGTATGATGCCCAATACAACATTGATGCTACAAAAGGTCACAAAAATTGGATTGAGAAGGAACTTATCAGTGAAATTCATGACAAGTTTCAACAGTCAGCACATTATCGAGTTCTCTCTGTTGGGTCTGGATCAGGATGCCCAGATGGGGCCTTCCTGGAAATTCTGTCAAAGCTCGTCAAGGATCAGGGCCTAAAAAATCAATTGATTGTTTACACAGTGGTTGAACCAGACCCAAAGGCTGTCGAAATTTGTAAGGCAGCTCTGGAGAGAGTCTCAAGGGATTTGAATATCAAGATTAGGTATGAAGTAGTGCCTTCTGAGAAGTATCTGCTGGAGCTCGAGGAAGAATTCGAACTGATCCTTTTTGTTCACGTCTTGTCTTGGCTAAAAGAGTACGAGAAGATACTGGAAAGATGCTTTGAAAGAATGACTGTTAAAGGAGGTACAGTTGCGGTAGTTGAACTTCACATGGAAACAGATGGTGGGGAAGGTGGCAGTGAATGTCACGAGGGCGATTGTGGGGGTAATGATGGCGAAGATGCAAAAGAAGGGCCTGGAGTTTGGTCCGTTGAAGTTGATGCGATTGCAGAAAAGCGTAAATGGAAGTTTAGGAAGTTTCCAAATCAGATAAGGATTGATCTCACTGAAATCTCAAAAGACACTGAAAAAGGGAAGAGGCAAGCCAAGTCATGGATGCACATGCGTGGGGAAGATGTTTCCAACCTGAATGAAAAGGAATATGCAAAGTGTAGAGATGACTTTTTAAAGAGTTTCAGCAGCGAAGAAATTAAAGGAGAGAAACAGTATTTCTATGCTTTGGATGAAATGGTATATTTCTTGAAAAAGGAATGTTAAATAAGAAAGAACTGCAAACTCATTTATTAGCAATATGCAAATCAACACTATACACATAAACTCATAGCTATTTTTGATTCATTAATATACACATTTATCATCTACTACACACAAATATGCAAAATTGCTCATTCATACATTTATGCATGCAAAAAAGAATAAAATTTGAACACAAAATATATATTTTTTGTCTTGCAATGAAGTTCTTTATTCAAGACATTTAAACTTACAACAAGGATAAAAGTTGTTTACACAGTGCATTTGAGACCCTTGGCGTAGGAAATATCATTATGGATAAAATTTTTGTGAGACATCATGCCACCACAGCTAAACTTTATCACTTCTTTTTTCAGCTCTGATTAATTAAGTCCTATGTTTTGCGGAAACTTTTACAATTGGGTTTCTGTTGTTATAATCTCATTACCTGTTGGGTTATTTAAAGGGAGGGTATTACAAGTTGTATTTGGAGAGTTCATTGGTTATTCCAAGAACATGGAGCAAACTAAAATGTATTTCACCAATAATGATAGAGAAAAAATGCAATTGTTGGAATTGAGAATCTACTTATAGCCAAGCATGACTATGAAACTACTTATATAGCTAAGCTTCTACAGAAATTTTCAGCTGACTATGAAAACTGAACATCACTGATGATCAATTTCAAAAAAGACAGGTAGCTACCAGACAAACGAATGGGCAGACAAACCCAACCAAGTGAACAAATTATCTACAACATGAAGAATTGAGATGACCCACCTAGCTTGTAATCAAGACAATTGAAAAGCTATGATTATTGTCATCCATTGCATGCCTGGCTCAACCTTTTTAAGGATAAAAGACACCATTTCATTAATTCCTATCCTAAATGAGCCTATATTATATGTGCATCTAGCTTGTCTTTGCATCAATTACTTTATTATCTGTTTGAATTATGCTTAACTGTTTGAATTAGAAGATGAATTCTTAAAGTGATAATATATAAAAACATAATTAAATATGATCAATAATCAAACCAGGGGTAGGTGATAGTGGGGGACAAGGTGTGAGGATGGCTCAGTTGTTAGAGGCGCTGACTACAGACCCAAGGGTCTGTGGTTCTAGTCCCTGGCATGAGCAAACTTTCACCCAGAGTGGGGAGAGTGGCCAGCTTTCTGTAATTCCAGACGCAGGAATCACGAGGTGTGGTCACATTGAGAGGAAGGACCAGGACACTGCTCAATAAGCATAGCTTCTCAGTGTCCTAAACTACCTTCAGATGCTAGCTAGCAACAAGTACAAATACAAATACAAGAGGCCTGGGCCCCCATTTTTGTGCTTTACGTTATACTAGTATACTCACTTCTTTATGTGAATAAAAAAATTTTCAGCCCCCAATTTGAAAATCCTAACTACTTCCATGAATTGAACAAATTTTGCTGCGATGAAGGGGTCTATTTTTTGTTGACATTGTTTTGCAACAATTCATGACAAATCCGTTGGGTATTGATCCAAGAGCAAGTGATAAATTTACAGAATTGTTAAGTTTTGCAGCCAGTGATAATTATATAAGAAGAGCTCATACATCCATTTCGTTTTAAACATGATTATAAATGTTTATGACCAATAAGGAAGGGGTTTGAGTCGATCTCTTTCTTCCTCTCAAGTCATATAAGTCTCGGCGTGTACCTTATGCTGAAAACCGTTCCATTCTTTGATTTTAGATAAAATTGATCAATTTGAGTTCTGTGCATCGACTCTAATCTCTGCAACATGTTCATAAAAAGATCAGTTTCATTAAAAACTACTGGAAGTTATTCACAAAACTTACAGATCTCAACATCTTCACCTCCAATCTTCCTTCCATATCCTGGTCAACAATTTCTTCCGTTCTTTCTTTTTTCGTATAACCATTACTATTTATTTGTCAACATTGACTGTCATCTTGAAATTTTCGGTAAAGCGGGCCAGCTCATCTAGCTGAAATTATAATCTTTCAACACTAACTAACACAGATTTGCAGAACTTAAATAAAGTCCTGGGGAGACCTGTCTAATAGCATTATCCTTATCACGTAGAAGATTGTAACCCTACCTAGTGACAAGTATTGCGACTATCTCCTTATATATTTTTCATCAATTTTCATTGGGTATTTATTTACAGATATATCAAAAGGTTTACAAACAATAACAATAAGCTTTTGCATAGTGCGGTGTCTGTTTTAACTTTTATCAATTAAGTTTCAGAAATACCGATTGAAGATCAAACAATGCCATTGAATATGCTTAGGAAATTAAAACGTAGTTACATTCTTAAATGGAAAATTATGCTTTGTCACTAATGTCCACTGAAATTTCTGACTGTTTAGACACCCTTATATTCTTAAAAGACCTTTTTTAAAGCAATTATTCATTCTAGCCTTCTCATTCCTGAAAAACGCCGGTAACAATTAAATCTTTCCAAAAAAAATGTCAACTTTAATGTTTAATTTTTTTCCAGTTACAAATGTATTAGTTACTCCAAGTTATACTGCTTCGCTGTGTTTCATTTTTAGGAAACAAAAAGCTGAGTATGATGCGAAACTGGCAGCATACACATGAAACATTTTCTAGCGTCCTTAAAGCAACAGAGAGCTCCAAAACAAAAGTTTCTTTACATGTAGGAATCATTACAGATTAAATGTTACAGAGATAACACATGGCATGTAAAAATACAGTTACTGGGCCTAGCTACCAGGAAGTATATCAGTAATGTTAAAAAAGAACGTCAACTGAGAAATACTTATTTCCAAGAAATAACAACAAGGAAGTTTATTTCTTAAACCTGAAGTTCTTTACCCTTAGCTTTGAAGGTGGAGAAGGTGGAACACATAGCATGTAAAAATACAGTAACTGGGCCTTGCTACCAGGAAGTATATCAGTAACGTTAAAAAAGAACGTCAACTGAGAAATACTTATTTCCAAGAAATAACAACAAGGAAGTTTATTTCTTAAACCTGAAGTTCTTTGCCCTTAGCTTTGAAGGTGGAGACTGGCAGTCCTTTTGATGAATATTTAACGTCCAGTAGCCTAGAGGGGCTTAATTATCACTACAAATCTACTAAAGACTCAGTTTTTCATCGTCCTCGTCTTCCTTTCTCTGCTATTCGTTCTAGAACGCGCTTGGCCTCGCACTGAGGGAAGTTGCTCATGTCGTAGTACTGGGGAGCAATTTGAATCAACCTGTAACGTAAACGAGACAAATGTTTAAATCAAATCAAAGCATTCGCTACAGTTCCACCTGACTCATGTGCAAAGGGAAAATAGCATTTGATCGATAGATAGTTAAGTTTTAGATCCTTGCCAAATGAAAACTGAAACAAGTTGGTTGCTATGCAAAATAAAGCAAAGAGTGGAACCTCTTTAAATTTTCGCACTGCACAAGAAGCTGTCAATTCGACTTGAAATTATTGACATCGCAACATAACCAACCGCAATTCAAACTCTATGTTATCTCTGTTTATTGTACGAATATTGGGTGAAGACTAACAAATAATTTTCTGCTTCAAATAAAAACAGGTTGCTCACCACTCTGGTTTGACATCAGTGCACGTCCTAATGTAGTTCTTTGTTGTCAGCACGAATTCATTGTAAACAACCCATTCAGGTTTATGATCCAAGCAAGTGGAAGGGTGCAGTTGAACAACCTGAACAAAGAGCTCGACCAAGGTTTAGCATTTTGAAGTCCAAAAGTTGACGTTGAATTACAAATAACATGGCTTAATATTTGTGCTTAGCATATCGATAGACTTTGGTACATTGCGCAAAGGATGCTTCATGTACATTCAAGCTTTAACTGTGCAGCCAAGACTCCTTATTTGCATGTGTCTATTAAAATATCTCAAGCCATAGTAGAAATATTTATAACTGGTAATGAGTATATGAAGGTAAGGGAATTCAGTACCCTGGCTTTTGTAGAAGAAAAAAGAAAAATTGCTACTAACACCCGTCTGGACGGATGCATAACTAGCGGGGGGGGGGGGGTTTCGTTTCTTATTCACTTCCTTTAGATGATTTTGACTGAGAGCATCTCGCAATCAACAAGATGACCAATTATGGCATTGACATGCAATGGTCATGTAAAATGCAACTTCAACAGTAAGATCCGTGTAGCTGCCCACCTCCTCCCCCTTTTAGGCTACTAACATATAAGAGATGAACGTAGAGTTCAACTACAACAGGAATCGGTACATCAGACCTGGCCGATCGTGCGCGTGCAAATTCCCACGCATCGCAAAATTTGTTCTCGTCAATACAACGCCAATGCCAGATAATCGGTTTATGTTCTGTTCAAGCAAATAAAAACGTTCTTGCATGATTCATTCCTTACCTTAACTATTTTATTTTTTAAGATAAGGAATATCTTTCAAACGCGTTTTGGTTCCAAACTTTATTTACCAATATCCTTTCGCGCACCGCGTTCAGCAACATCCATACGAAATTTTTCATTGGTCTGGTAAAATACACACGGCCAGGCCTGGTACATTTTGCATCCAAAGCAAAAAATGACAGAAAAATGCATACCTGGTTGTCTTTAACAGTGAGATAGTGACCAGTCCTCTCCAGATGTGCCACCTTTTTAGGAGGTTGCGGAGGAGCAACAGTTCACATAGATCAATATCAATGCATCATGTAAAACGACACCAAATAATGATGGTTAAGTTCTTCTACAAAGAAACAAAACATTTACTCGCTGTTCGATTAGCATCTTCATTTGTTCAGATATAAAATTCTCCAAAATGCTACAGTCGAGTAAATGTTCTGTTTCTTGGTGAAATAATAATTAAAGTAAATAAACTACTGCTTGGCACCCCGACATCAATCGAAAGCTCATATTTACCATATAAGTATAACGTTTGCAAAACAGTCAACAAATATAACCACAACGACCAAATAATTAACCGTTTAAAATACTGGCGAAACACCAATGTCGGGGATCATTTAGAGCCAATTAAACAAAATATCAATGACATTTTTTGGAAAGATTGTTTAGGAAAAGCCCAGGATACAATTCTGTAGTGTATAGCATTTCACTCAAAACGTTTTTCAGGTACGGGACTAAAGTGGCTTCACGGTTTAATAAGGTAACCCGTTAAAAGCCATTAATTTGAGCAACCAAAAGAGCTAATACGTATTTTTCGCTGGAGGTCTCTAATAAAGTCTGGATATACCAATGTGCAATGTTTTACAGCCTTAAGATATCTGTGCAAAACTGATAAAATGTAACGAAGAAGTCGCCTGCTTAAATACCTGCATGAAAAATCCAGAAACTAATGCTTTGCGAATATTCAGGTAGTAGTCTCTGCTGTTGAAGTCCGTACTGATTCTTTTCAAGTCGAATCTGTCCATAATCCTGGCCAGTTGCTGTCGGACGTTATCGGCTGATTTCAGCGAACGGAAATTTAAGAAGTTGTCGTAACACCATTGAACGTCGTCATGATCTACGGAGAAACCGATGATTTCTATTCACTAGCAAAATAAAGACAAAAAAAACACAAAGCATATAAATATCTTTGCGGAAGGATCTTTGGGATATTTTGCCTGCTTTTGTCTTTACGAGGCCCCGGTAAAAAATGTTTTCTATAACGGGAAACAGGAACCAAGAAGTGAAAATAAAGTTGGAACAGATATTGTGCAAATTGTCACAGTGTACAAAATAATAATTTGCACACGGCAAAATTAGACTAGTGTCAAAATGATACAGTTTTGATGTACCTAGACAAGCAGATAAAAGATAAGAAAAGGTAAACAAATAGTGCACAACGTTGACAACAATGTCAGAATCTGCAAACATAACAGTCAAAAAGTGTGTTCTCTGTACAGAGGAAGCCGTTCACTATTTAGTGTTCTATTTCATGAAATTATTTCCTACGCTGCCAAAGTTTGTTCACTTTGGTATTCATTCTTCTGAAGTTTCTGGTATTCATGCTATGAGGAAGTAGCCAAAAGAATATGATACGAAATAGGGCCTACTTTGCTTAAATGCGTGGTATACATTGAGCAACGTGAGGTGGTCGCCATCGATGTGCGCGAACTTCATCTTGCAATCATCTGCGGCTTTCTTGGCTTCGTTTGGACGCATAAAAACCTGTTGGACTACGAGACAAAATGGAACAAATTAACAAAACACTGCTACTTCGAATCATAGTATCCACTGAGGTTGATGAAGTAACGGCAATTGGAGACATAGAAGATGAAGAGGTAATAGGGGACAAAATTACCCGAGGACACGTAGTCTATTTGAGATCGATATTAAAAAGATTTCCGACATTAAAATTTCCGAGAAATGGCCTCGTTATTAATTTCCCAGTCTTATACCCGAATACCTGATTTTCACTGGGATCTTGAAGAAACAACAAAAAAGAGATTGGAAAAGAACTTTTAAATAAAATAATAAGTTGGTTTATTCCCTTCATCTATGCTTGCAAACGAACAGGAAGTATCGTCTTTATTCTGAAGACAGTAATAAGAACTAAAATTTCGACTGAAAAGTTTTTAATTCTCCGTGGATTGTAGAACCAATTCTTAGGCGCAGAATGAGATCTGGATCAGACAAAACGTCTTGAAAAGGGTTATTCAGTTATTCCATGTTATGGGCGCAAAAATATATCCGAAATAAACTATCAACCTGAAAGCATGGCAACAATAGACAACGCTTCGTTGGAGCAGTTGAAGTCTGTGCTTGCGATGACCATCTTAGCAAGCTGGGGGTCGAGTGGAAACTCTGCCATCATTGAGCCGAGTTCCGTAAGATCTCCGCTATCATTCAAAGCCTTTAAATAATTCAGCAACTCCAAAGCTCGCATCAGGGTCTCTGGCGCTGTAGCAATAGAACAATAGCGTCAAAAAACTTCAAAGGCAAAAAACTTCGTCGCATTCGAAGATCAAACTAGCAATATATCAAACGTTCAATTCTTCTTAGAAAGCTCTAGATTTTCTAATTAAAACATCTGTTAAATTTTCAGAGCGGCTAATTTCCAAAGGGCTAGCCAGGATGATGACAATATAAGGCCAAACAATATTGGCTTATTGACATAAATGGCATAATCGAGTACGCTTACTTGTTCTGTTCTCTCGAAATTTGTTCGTATTCTAGTTTACATAATCTAAATTCAAACTAACAAGCAGGATACAATAATCGCACTTTTGGCTTTTGAAATTGCCAACTTAACTATCACTTAATTATTAATATCTTGACCAAGCCATATCGTGGCCTTCATAAAATACTGTGTTATATAATTAAAAAGGAAATGGAAATTCGAGTCTCCCCTTCATTTCTAATGTTTATTTAAAATCCAATAACAAAAAAACATGACAATGTGTTCGCTTAATTTCCTGTTTATTAGAAAGGGATTGATCAAAATTTAACATGACCCAACTAACCACAATGTTTAATAACTAACAAGACAATTCTCCAGCATCATATTCTTGAAAGAAACTTACTTTCGTAATGGATAACTAAAGCCTATCGACTTCAGCAAAGGAGGCCAGAGAAAGAGGGGCACATGAGGAATAAAGCATCTTTTCTTTTTAGAAAAAATAAGACCTTTTCATGATGTTATCGATTTGCCTTATGCACGGACCTGTTTTTGAATCACGCATTATATGTTTATGGATTGTCAATACACGGTTTTGACAAGATCCGTTTTGAAAAGGTGAAAGTCACTTTCTGTAGCACCAGTCCACCCGCATTCTAGCACTTCGGCAAGTTCTACAGACAAGGTATACAACCAACATCATATGCACGGCATTATCAATAATCTCACCAACCAACTTGAATAATAAAAAAATAGACAATTTAAAAGCGGCGATGATCGTACCGGGGGGGTCCATAAAGTCGAAATGCACCAAGTCATCAATGCCAAGTTTCTTTAACTGTAACACAACTGTACCCAAATTGGATCGCAGAATCTCAGGGTATGTGTTATCTTGCATCTCATTCTTGTACGCTTTCTCAGTGTAAAGTCTGAAAAAATTAACATAGAAGCTGTTCTAAATCTAAACTATCTCTTTATAATTTCAAATGTTTCTCGCATGGTTTTCATACTGCCAGAGACATACGAGGGACAATTCACTCTTGAAATAGCGCACGACATTACCACCAAAACTAAAGGATTTCTACAGATATTCTGATAAAACAATAGGATTTTTACTAAAGATTTCCAAAGAGTGATTTGCCCCCTCGGAGATAGAAATAAGGGAAACCCGTTGATAAATTAAAAAACATTTGGCATCATGATTGAGTAAACTGAACAGATCGACACAACATAATAAAGTCAAAATTGGTAAGTTGAAAAAAAGTTTTGCAATACTTTCAGACAAAAAGTGCAGATTAAAACCTAGGCAAAACAGAAGATCAAACGTCTTGAATTATAAATGGCAACCAACCTACTACTGATAAACATAATACCCGTGGGTATTGTGCAACAATTGATAAATTCCTGTGCGCATTACCTGAAGCATTTGCCAGGTCTTGTACGCCCAGCACGACCCGCTCTTTGTTGTGCACTTGCTTTGGAAATGGCAGATACCAGGAGAGACTCTACCCTGATTCTTGGATTATAAACCTATTTAAAATTGTACCATGATTAACAATCACACAATAGCAGTCACATTTGTTAAATTAGATTTCATCACACTACCCGCGTTTTAGTTCCAGTCTACATGTGAGGATTTTGCTATGAAATTTGAGTCTTTAATTTCCTCTATAATTTCTCATTGGAAAATTTTTGCTTGAGATTTGAAATAGGAAAGTGAACAATTGTATGTGAAAAACTGACTGGATCCTACAATAAATTGTCTATAATAATTGAAAGAAAGTCAAAGAAGTGTGAGAAATAGAGAGGTGAAAGAATCTGAAAGCGGCAATAACGAAAATAGAGGCAGCGAAAATGAAAAACAGGGCGAAAACTTTGATTTGATTTGGTTCTCTTTGGTTTGATTTGGATACAAGCTAGGAGAATATAAAGATAAAGATTATTGTGTCAGTATAGGAGCGAATTTGTTTCAAAAGTAGATAGGATTGGGTAAAGATACAGCCAAAAGAAAGATTTTACCTTCTGTTTTGAGAAGCCAGGATCAATTACAAAGACGACGCCATCGATTGTCAATGAAGTTTCTGCAATATTAGTCGAGACGACAACTTTCCTTCCAATCGCCCCATTTGCCTTATTTGGAGGCGGGGACTCAAATATCCTCTGCTGAAGGTTCGGCGGCAGAGTCGAATACAGAGGAATGCACTTCAGATCGCCCACTTCAGGACCAAGGTTTTCGATTTCTCGATTGATTCTTTTGCATGCCTCGTCAATTTCCTGACCATAGAAAATGATAATATGATACATATGACAAACGAGGGGTTGAAGCTATTTCTATAAACATAACATGACATTCGCTGTTTGCTCATACTTAAACACAATTGGAAGCTACAGATCGGTGTAAGCGCATTTTCTTTTAATTTTGCTTTAATTGTTCCTTTCATTTTCTTAGCATATTCAGCAATCTATGCCTGATTTATGAATAACGAGTTTGATACTCAGAATCTGGTTTTTCGAAGTTTTTTATTTCATCTAAAGTAAAGCTCGTTTTTTTCAAAGAATTTCCACACCATCTTCCCATCAAGCATGAACCTGGACTTATGTATATGAACTTATGTATAAAGGTGTACCTCTTGTCCAGTCAAAAAGAGAAGAACGTCGCCCTCCACTTCTTCGCACATGTGGATCTGAATGACAGTCCTGATTGCAGCTTCCAAATAGTCTCGTTCTGGCTCGGGGGTGTAAAATATTTCTACTGGATGTGTTCGGCCAGGGATGGTCATCAATGGCGCGTTGTCAAAGTAATCTTGAAATTTCCCAGCATCCAGTGTTGCAGACATGACAACAACCTTTAGATCCGGTCTTTGTTTTATCACCTGCAAGTCATACAGCAATACCAATACGGCATAGTTCAAGATACTGTTACGGCAATGGCATCATGTTCTACTCAACCTATCCCCACCGATATACAGTGAAAAGTATTCAGTAAAGTATACAGCAATTAATTGATGTTCTCCCTAGGGACTCTGGATCAACATTTCTTAACTTGGGAAAAACCATTACAAAATCTCTAATGTCAGTTAGCAATATGGGAGTTTTTGATACATCTCAGTTGGCTCTCAAAACGTTTAGAATACAAAACGAACTATCAACCAAACATATTATCAAGATGATCAAATTTCATGCCAGAATCTCTGTGATAATTTTTCACCACGGCTTATTGCGCATGGTTGAATTAAAGTTGACAACAATCTTTTTAGCTTCTAAGATTGTCTTTTTAGCCTATGTTTGATTCGTTATGGAATGTGTACATGATCACAATTTTTCGACTGCATCTTATTTCTAATTTGAAAATCTGATTTGCGTCTTAAAAAATTCTTTTTACCAAATGCTTGTGATTAAGAAACAGGGAAGCAGCAGGTGTTGCAGCCTGGTGTTGCAGCCAGTTTGAAAAACAACGACAAACCTCTTTGATAAGTCCCATGAGAATGTCAGTGGCAAGAGTCCGCTCGTGGGCTTCGTCAAGCAGAATCACGCCATATCTGTCCAAAAGCGGATCAGTCATTGCCTCTCGCAGTAACATACCGTCAGTCATATACCTGTTCAAAAATTTAAGCAGTAAGATACGATAGTTGCTTTGGAAGAGTGACCAACAGAAACTACCTCAAAAACTATATATTGTAGAAAATGAGAAATTAATTCAGAAAAATACGTCAGCCTACTATACATCATTCCTTGAATTTTTTGCGTTTTGCTTTTTGGCTTTGGCCTAACATCCATCGCTACCTGGTTTATGCTACATGAGCAGAAGGTGATCCAGCACTGATAAGCAGAAAGTCAAATAAAAAAAATTAATAAAAAAGTAAAACAAAAGTTCCTTATTAGGTCACCCTGAAATCATCCAATTCATAACAAATTATACTTTGTATCAGCTTACTTCATGAGTGTTCTTGCACTTGAACAGTCTTCAAATCGAATGGAATATCCCACTTCTTGGCCAAGCACGACATCCATTTCGTCAGCAACACGCTGCGCAACACTCATTGCTGCTACTCTCCTTGGCTGAGTACAAGCCACGTGCTTTCGTCTGCCATAATTAACCAGCTCAAGACACCACTGTGGTATCTAGCGAAAGCAGTAATAAAGGGCTGGAAACCATTCTATCTTTAAGATATTCGCATTTAAGCAAATACGACAGGCAGTCGTGACACCGAGGAAATGATATTCAACCCTGGTCGAATGATCAGTCCACTTTAATGGGCTTCTTTACAACAGTAGATGGCATAAAAACAACGGCGTGAAACTGTGATTATTTCTACAAACTTGAGAGTAGCTTAAAACCTGTCACCTTGTTTATATCGGTTTATATATAAACGCAATTGTTCCCATATTTGTTGTATGTCACATACTTCAATTATCTTGCACTTTTTCCTATTTAAACATTTCAATTTATATATCTTTGCAAACCGTTAACAAGCTCTGGGAAATGACGCTTTAAGACAGTACTAGGTGCTCTTGAATCAAACATTATTATTGGAGCACTACCACCTAATCAAAATTATTTCAACAATCTATACAATTAGTGCATTTACCTGCGTAGTCTTTCCGCTGCCTGTTTCTCCTACAAGAACAATGACCTGATTTTTGAAAGCTGTGTCCATGAACTGTTTTCTGTACTCCCAAACAGGTAGTTGGAGCCTCTTTTTAAGAATTTCGTGGAACCTGTCGCTGTATGGTCGACCATTGTAAATGTTTACTTTCGGAACTTCTTCGGCCAAACTTGGCAGAATCGGGAATGGAGTTTGACTGTAACAGAAAAAAGCTACTACGATAATACTGGTGTATAAGTCGAGGCTTCAAGACCAAAACTAGGCTTTAAAAGCAGCCTTCCACTTACACACAGGGTTACAAAAAAAATCGAGAAAATATTTTCTCTTCTATTAAAACAAATAGTTTAAAAATCAACACACTGTTTTTCTAAATAGCACACAAAATTAAATACTTTAAGAGTTGTCAATGTTTTGCATTTTATTGCGAGAACTGCATTATCCTGTGGTATTCTGCATAGCAATTGCATTCATTTCTGACGCAGAGATAAACAAAATTGACAGGATTGCACCCAGTCTATGTAAATGTAGTTTTTGAAAGTTTTTCTTGTGCATCTGAATTTGAAGTGATCCATTTTGTGCACTTTTTTGGACTACAACACATTAATGACATTTCCTTCACCTCTTTCAGGCAATTGAAAACCCACATCTTTCAGCCTTCTTTCTTCCTTTCCAGCTTTGTTCCTTCTCTTTCTACTTCTTTTACCTGCTTCTCCATCCCCAATATATCCAGTTAACTGCACTTTTATCATCAATAAAATAGAAATTCTGACATTGAGCGCTTTGGTTTCTTGTCCTTTTTGACAAAGTATTGTTGGTCAATCTACTCCCTACTTCTCGTTGTTGTAGCCCTTGACAGGCTGGTACCACTATGATTCTCTCATACCTTTCATATTTTTCTTCTTTCTTTCAACAAGCTTCCATGCAGCAGGATTGTGGATAGGTCTCATAAAATTGACTTACAACTTGTAAATCTGTTTTTCATCATTCAATTTCCATAGCATCCTCGCAAAGGAGATTACAGGGAAGTAAGACCCATATGACTGCAACTGCGTTGCAGGATAAAATTTATTGCTTAGCCTTGAGAAGTGAGATCTCTCAACAGGTCTTTACCACCAAATCTGTTTTTCCTAGTCACCAACGTAGCCTTGACTGCCTTTCTTTCCTGAGATAGGCTTTGATTTTCCAGCATTATGTTTCCCTGCTCTTCAAAATCAACTTAATCTAACTGTTCTTCACCATGAACTCAATCTAACTGGAATCAATCTAGAATAAGATACTCAAACAAAGGGACTTCTCTACTCAATTTATGTCTAGCTACTGAAAGAACTGCTCTTTTAAAATATTCCCTCCTTACAATCTTTCTTTTTGTCAATAAATTCTTGTTTCTGTTTTGATGGTTGAATAATATTGCTATAGTACTGTAGCTTAGTTAGTTTTTTTCATTAGTACATTAATGAAAAATTGTATGCAGAGAATTTAGATTACGAAACTGGAACTAACTGCACTTAACCATAAACTTGGTCTAACTGTTCTTCACTATCAGATCTGCCGTACTATTTTCCACCATAAACCTGGCCTAACTGTCTTCACTATCAATTCGTTCTAATTGTTTTCTGCCATACACTTGGTCTAACTGTTCTTCACCATCAACCCGGTCTGACAGACATTTTGTCTTCATCCAATAATAAACGAGATCCTAAACTAAGAGACCCAAATTCTTTATAAATGCATTAGATCATTTTCAACAACAACATAAAGGTTTCAAATTGGAGCAAAAACAGTTTTGATGCCTTTTTTGTCACATCATAAAACATTTCTATTGGGTCCTTAAGCCTAATCTCATCGGAGACATTTCTCAGTGCGCGTTAGCCCCTGTTTGAAGCGCTCAAACTTGGCATGCGTACATTAGAAATGATCACGTCCGCTGCGATCAGTTTCATGTTTGCTCACAAACGTTTAAGAGTAGGTCTCATTTCTACTCCAAGGCACGTTAAAAAATGTCTCTGATGAGATTAGGTATTACTCTAATATGAGCAAGCTTAAAAGGTGAAGTTATTTACTGAGTAACAGCAAACATTCTGTAAACTCTCTGCCAGACAGACAAGAGTGTGAATTGCATGCATGAAGTATGTTTTGTGGATGATTGGCCACATAGATGGTAATTCATTTATGACAAAGACCGGAGACCATGCACTCAATTTACTTCTTTTCATTAGAAGTAACCACAGAAGAAAAAGTATAAGTAATTCTGTCTCTGAGAAAAGCAGGCCTTTCCGGGAACAAAAAGCAAGTGAGCTAAAAAAAGACCCCTGCTGGTTTGGCTGCATGGGCTATTTAGCCCTTGCAGAATTTGTTGTTTATCTATTTATATTTGAGTATATACAAGCCAAAAGACAAATTATCTTGTCTACTTGTAAACATGATTTATGTTAAGAAGACAGTTCTGTGTGCATTACTACTCCTTAAAATGATAAAAGAGATATATATCTGGATTTCTTGCAAAATGGCAACGTTTTGTGTAGAAACACAGATATATTGAGTAGTATCCAATGAAACTCATCTTTATTTAAAAAGAAAAAGAGCAGGATAATGTTATTCAAAGAGTAATGGGAGATTAAGTTGATTCGCATTAAAAATTCAAGAAAGAATAACTGAAACACCCTTCTCTTCTATTAGAAATGAAGGCAGACTATGAGTACTCTAGTTTTATAACGGATGATATAACGGATTTGTCTTAAGATGAAACTGGCAATGATTTAATGGAGAAATCGTTTAAGAAATACAGGATATCATACTCTTTGGGTGGGATGGGAGATGTCCTTCGTTGGGTCAAAAATGGTTTCAAAGACATAATGGAAACGTGAAAAAATGTGAAATCTCTTATAAATTGAGGAATAAAATTTTCAGAGTGTTAGCTTTTCAGTTCAGTTTGTGCTTTGTTTTAAAATGCTTGGGCATTCATAGATGTAATCCATGTCACCAGAAAACAGGGCATGAGACACGCCGAGACCCTCACTGACACCCCACCCCACTGGGTGGACGCATATGGCGGGACGAGTCTAACAACATTTGACAAAGCGTTTATCAAATTAGACAGTAATTTGTAAGGTATATCAGCTTTGATGTTTGAAATTGTCCTACGAATCAAAGTTTATTAAAATTTATTTTCTATCTAATTGCTCTCTTTTTTTATACTTTAATTATATTAATTGTAGTGTAATTTATTGCATTGTATTGTATGTGTGGAATTTAAAATAATGAAACTGAACTGAACTGAAAGTAATAGGCCTATACTCTTTAAAATGTTGTCATCAAGGGGAGAACGGTTAAATAAATGAAACTATGACAGACCTGCTTGTTGAATGGTCTTGGTAGTCTCTAACTTTCTTTGAATTCGACTGTCCATCAACGTCTATTCGTCTTTTCGACATTTTCTTGTTCTGTCACGAAGTAACTCAACTCCACGCTTGTTTTCTGTACACCATATTCAAGAGGGGAGATGATGCGCACAAGTGGCATGAAGACAAGGCATTCTGCACATGTGCTCCCACGCAGCGCCGTCACTGATCTTAAGAATCTATCACAACACAAAATTTTGCATTACCTAGATGGAAATAAAAAAGTTTTGAAAGAACCATTTAGACCAGCTATAGAGGGGTTTTTTTAAAATTTCATATATGAGAAAGGCAAAAGTAAAAATCACGAGTCTTGTCAAGGTGAAGTAGCGTAGGATTCAGTCTCTGTTCCATGTGGAGGCACAACCAAGATGTTTTAATTTAATGGAGGATTGAGGGGATTTGTAGCCAGTGTTTTAGGCCAGCTTGTTAGAGCAACGTTGGTAACGTTTCCCCCAGTATAAGGCGCCCCAGTATACGGTCCAGCCCCAGTATAGGGATTGTCAATCAAGATTATGTTCTTAAGTGCCGCCAAAGCCGTTTCGGTTCGTTATCGTCGCGATGATAGATAGAAGTTATTTCAAGTCACAGCGGCTTCTCGGCCAGTAGACATTCAGCCATACACTTTCAGCAAGCGGCCATGTTGTAACAGCCGTACTTGAAAGACATTCGCGTAGCTCACCTTTAAAATATTATACCTTTAAAACTCATACAAAATATAAGTTTAGTTGTTTAAGTTTCGTTTTATTTTGCTCGTACCAAGTTTTGGTGCGACTATCGAGCCGAGTAACGTGGGAGCCTTTAGCAAGAATATAGGGCTCGCTCGTTCAGCTGACAACTACGGGGGTCAAATTGTTTCTAGGATACAGTTTTGAAAAAATCTTGGCTGAAACTGTTTCGCCGGCCAATTGAAATCGGTGCACTTGCGTTTAGACTTTATTTGTTTTATTGTTTTGTGGGGTTCCTCGTGTTTAATGTTGCTTGCCTTGTTTATATGACGAGCATTGACTGGGGATTTTTATGAACTAGAAGTTAGAAGAAAGAGGGTTTCGCTATGTTCTCAAGGTTGCAAATCAACCTTTTGATTATATGCAGCATTCTGAAAATCAAGTCCACATGTCACATTGCGTTTTTTGCTTGTTCAAAAATTATCTTCCCCAAGAACTACACCTCGGTTGTGGGAGACACGCGCGGGGCCTTCACCCCCGGGTCAGACATAGAGAATTCTCAGAGTAGCGCGGACCTCTGTGCACTTTTGCATAAATTTGGCCTCTTGTATGACCGATTATACCTTTAAAACTCATACAAAATATAAGTTTAGCTGTTTAAGTTTCATTTTATTTTGTTCGTACCAAGTTTTGGTGCGACTATCGAGCCGAGTAACGTGGGAGCCTTTAGCAAGAATATAGGGCTCGCTCGTTCAGCTGATAACTACGGGGGTCAAATTGTTTCTAGGATACAGTTTTGAAAAAATCTTGACTGAAACTGTTTCGCCGGCCAATTGAAATCGGTGCACTTGCGTTTAGACTTTATTTGTTTTATTGTTTTGTGGGGTTCCTGGTGTTTAATGTTGCTTGCCTTGTTTATATGACGAGCACTGACTGGGGATTTTTATGAACTAGAAGTTAGAAGAAAGAAGGAAACTCTAATTTTAAGGAAACTGCACATTTTGATGAAAATTTTGACTGCAAATTTTTGCGGACAATGCTAATAGGTAAGAACAATCCATTTATGATTTTTGGTATCAAGATCGATATTTCATCTGCGACAATTGATGATACAAGAGGTCGACCGATTACACTTTTGACATTGCGTTCATGATAACAACATGGTTGTAATCGTGATGTTCATTTTATGCATTTTATCTTGATTTCGTGATTGGGAAATATGTTTGAAAATAACTTTTGTTTGGAAGAATCCAATGAAAAGTTCGGCTAATTTTAACGTAATTGACATTAAATATACAATTGACAGTTTTGATTTTGGTCATATATTGTTTCTTTCATTATTTAGTACTGGCCAATAATTTATCAGCCATTCTATGTCCAAATTTTGCAAAAAAGGCAGTGAGAGGTTATAGAGGCAAATTCTTTCTCTGCACATTCAAAATGGCGGATATGTGGATAATTTTGTGCTGAATCAGCAAAAATTAAAATAACTATAATATCTAAATGAGCAAAGATATCAACTTGAAATTTTCAGGTTATTTTCCTCTCAAAATGCTAAGTATCTGATAGGAGTATCAGGAAAATTTGAGAGGGTGCATTACATGACTGTCCCTCATTGGCATGGAATGACCCTGTTACAATTATCAACATATCGCAGTCGGATTTATTTATTTTCAACTCTTTACTGTAGTTCTGATTAAGGAACAGGGAAATCATTTCGGCAGCCTCTTCGTAGCCTTCCCCGTGCGATGCTAAAATTTCGATTAGAGTAATATCCTCTTTCAATACTAAATTCATATTTTCTGCATAAACGGACGGTAATTTTGTATTCCTAAACATTGCTAGCTTTTCTGCAATCGACCCATTTTTTAGTGAAGCTAGTAAGAATTTATTCAAACTTTTCAAATTAACGTCTACTGCAACTTTCGTTTCGCATGGGCTCTCAACTGGTTTCAAACAAATGGGTTTTCTTTTCCCTTGTAAGGTTGCAGACTCTTTTTTCCTTTTAGAACCCTTACTCATAGCCATTTCCTTCCTCTTTTTATTCAGCGGGGCATGTTGCGATTCTGTTTCGCTTCCAACTGCAGTGCAATTTTCGCAAAACCACTTGTTCTGCCTTTTTATTACTGCTTGGACACATTCTACGTGAAACCATTCATTGCAACTATCGCAAGCAATCATTGGGGAACCCCGTTCATAAAAATTCCCAGTCAATGCTCGTCATATAAACAAGGCAAGCAACATTAAACACCAGGAACCCCACAAAACAATAAAACAAATAAAGTCTAAACGCAAGTGCACCGATTTCAATTGGCCGGCGAAACAGTTTCAGTCAAGATTTTTTCAAAACTGTATCCTAGAAACAATTTGACCCCCGTAGTTGTCAGCTGAACGAGCGAGCCCTATATTCTTGCTAAAGGCTCCCACGTTACTCGGCTCGATAGTCGCACCAAAACTTGGTACGAGCAAAATAAAACGAAACTTAAACAGCTAAACTTATATTTTGTATGAGTTTTAAAGGTATAATATTTTAAAGGTGAGCTACGCGGATGTCTTTCAAGTACGGCTGTTACAACATGGCCGCTTGCTGAAAGTGTATGGCTGAATGTCTACTGGCCGAGAAGCCGCTGTGACTTGAAATAACTTCTATCTATCATCGCGACGATAACGAACCGAAACGGCTTTGGCGGCACTTAAGAACATAATCTTGATTGACAATCCCTATACTGGGGCTGGACCGTATACTGGGGCGCCTTATACTGGGGGAAACGTTACCAATATGGTTGGCTTGTTAATGTTAAAAATGAACATTAACAGATGTTAATAAATTTTCCTGTGTACTAAGAACAGTTTAATGGCACTTTTTATGTACCAAAATACCAGGTGTTTGTTGCCATTCTTAAAAGGGATTGCTGCAGGAAGGCAACCAGTCGGAATTTCATTAAGGACTTTCAGAAACCTTTCAAGTTTCTTGAAGAAGAGACGTCCGAGTCGCCTACCAATTTACTTAAGTGCACTTGGAGTAGCTGTTGGATTTGGGATACTAGCAACGTACAGGCCTACAGAATCGATGGAATACAGCGTAGTGAATAAAGTCATTCCTTGTGTTAAGGCCATTGTGCCAGAGGATGACGAGAATGACGATGAAATAGATAAAACTAATTTGAAAAAACGGAACAAGCTCTCAGCACAGTTTAATTTCATTGCTGATGCCGTCGAAAGTGCCACACCAGCTGTTGTATATATTCAGGTTTGTATTTTCAGTGCTCAGTTCAGTTCAGTTCAGTTCATATATTTTAAAATTCCTTTACATACAATATCTTGATAAAAGCACTACTACTTACATACAATGACTACAAATTACATAAACATACTAAGAATAATACACAAAAAATAACAATTTACATAAGATGTTGCATGCAGGGGGATTTCTTTAGGAGGAGCTCTCTCAATAGATAAACTAATCGAGGAGAGAGCACCCCCTTGAGAGAGTGCTCTCTCCACGATTAGGAGAGTGCTCTCCTCATTCTCTTGAAATAATGGCTTCAAACAGGCCTTGCTCTAAGTAAAATGAAGGTGCTCCATAAAAAGAGCCCCTTAGAAACTCTAGGTGCTCTATTTCGCACCTCTAAGTAGATTTCCTTGAGAGCATCCTTCGAGAGCTTTAGGAGATCGAGAGCTTCATATCGAAAGCTTTGGAAGAATTCTAAATATGAAATTCAACGGTGATACCAGAAAGCACCATAATATGAAATAACAAAACATGCAACAAACACAATGTTAATATAATAGAAATATAATAGAACAAAGTCGCAAAATTGTTCAGATTTTTCTAGATATGTGAGTTGCCATCATTCGATGAGCTTTTATCAGTGTCAGTATCACTACTGTTATGTTCAGCTTCACATATTGCTTCATCAAAACGCATGGCTTTACATCAAACATTTAACTTTGTTTCCTTTTTTCATGTTATCCATTCTATAAGAAACGCTAGAACATCTACTACTCGCAAAAGCAAATGAAGAGCAATGCGATAATTTGGACGGAAACGTGATCGCTGATTTGCACAAGCGATTTTAAGTTATAAAGAAAAACAGAAAATAATATATACTTCAAAAGAAGATTAACGCTTGCTCGAAAATCAAATAAATCTGCTGGAGAATACGCTTGATGGCCTGTGTCCTTGATGGTTATTAGAGGTTTATTAAATAAAAAATTATATCGAAAACCCAACGTTGAATTTGCTGAATTTTTTCTCAAGGGGTAATCTTACGCAAATCATAATATTGCAGTCTGTTGGGAAGATTGTTTATGCTTGATCAAGTTGATTCAACAAATTCCAAAAATTTATTTTGCTCCGTGTTAATATTGTTTTTACGTTTTGAGGGGCTCTATAAATCGCTCTCCAATGCTTTTTCTGGGTGCGCTCTAGGCGCGCGCGTTCGATCGAGCGCCTTTCCGGGCAAGGCCTGCTTCAAATCAAGTTTAGGCCTATGAAAATCTGATAGGACTTGAGCTTGCATTCCTTGATTTTTGCACAAGGAAGCTCGTAACACAGCAATTTCTGTCTGGTAGCAGAAATGGACCTCAACAAAAACCTATCTTGAACAATTGGAGGGGATATAAATCGAAATGGTCAAAATTTGTTCTTATAGTTTTTTTAAAGATGGCTTATTGTAACAATGTTTAATTTAGGTATAGCCGTTTTCAAAATTTTCCTTGATTTAGTAAGAAAATTTTAAAAGATCTTTGCAAAAATTCTGCAAATTTAATCAAATTTTGGTCATATATATGGAAAACTTCACCAGCATATATATGAATATATAAGAAATGATAACTTCAGTAACATGTTTTTAGAGCTTTGGGTCATATGCTACCTAGAAATCCAATATTATCTTTTGCTTCTATAATTGGAGTTTAAAAATTACCTTCAACAAAGAATAAAGTTACAGACTAAAGTTATAAGAGCAACTGACTAAAGTTACGAACAGTTTCAATGGCAAACTGAAAGAGTTGAGAAGAATTTGTTATCTACCAATAAAAATCCAGGAAGAGATTCGCTTCAAAACAGTTGTTAGTGCAGCTACTTATTGTATAACAATATTAAACTGCAATATTGAATGCTGTTGATGCATTGCATGCTAGAGCAGCAAAAATGATTAATAAAATAAAAGGTGCAAGATCTACGGAAGAAATCCTGAATAAAGCTGGATGGGAACTGATTAGCTACATCTATAGAGCAAGGGTACTGATGTAGATGCATAGAATTTATTACAAAACATGCTCAAAATAAATTTATGAACAATTCAGTGAACGAAAAACAAATTTGCGAAAACCTCTTCAAGTTGAAATCATAAGATACAGAATGAAATTTGACGGAACTCATTTAAGTATAGAGGTGGAGTTCTTTGGAACTCAATTAACAATAACCTGAAGAGTGAAGAAAATATTACAACTTTCAAAAACAAGATAAAAGATTTCAAAAAGTACGTAAACCAGCATTCATTTGAAAAGGTGGCCTGTATTATTAATAATAAGAACAAAGATTTTAAGTACTTTTGACACTGTAAATACTGTTAACTATTTTAATCCCCTTTTTAGATTTTTTATTTATAAAAAGATAATTGAGCTTATTTTTTGTTTGTAGCTGCTGGTCCACATCAAACGTTAGTTGCCTTTAGGTAAACCTGCATTACCAAATAATTAATGTATGTATGTATGAATGTTAGTAATAGATACTTAAAATATTTAGCGATTTTATAGGCACTCAAAGTCCAGCAGTTTTTACATGTTCAAGATAGCATAAAATGAGTTCCATACAGGCTAGAGAGTTAATTCTTTTCAATATTATTTGATCAGAAATTTAATGAAGTTTCAAGATGTGGGATTCTTTTCATCAAAAAAGCAACTTATTTTTTTCCTATTTCCACCTCGGGGCTAAGTGTGCTGGGGGGAGTGTAATGAGTATCAACAGTACTTCACCGCTATCTGTCCTCTGTAAAGCAGCATTGGACTATAGCTTGTTTTCACAATCTGTGCCCCTGTAATGTAGCTAGAAAGACAAAGAGCTACTAGGAAATAGACAGGGATGGCGAAACAACCAAGCGACAAATTCCAACATAACTGCAATTTTATTTCGATCTGCTGTAGTTATCTTGAACATTAGCTAACTTTGGGCATAAGGAATTATTTTACAAGTTTTGAGAAGTCCAGAATTTCATATGAATCTCTCTGATTATTACAATTGGCCGCTTTCAAGGGCAATTTATTAAAAAGGGCACTCTGATCCTCTTGCCCCACCTTTCACAGGACAACAGGAGCAGTTGAACTCCACGCCCCTTTCTCCGGCGTCCCTGGAAATAGAAAAAGAAAGTTCAAAGGAATACTTATCAAAACGAAGCGACTATAAACACACAAGGTTACAGTATTTGCCCATATAATGGGTGTGTCCCACAACAGAAGGGTGTGGTTCCAATCCCAAAAGATTTGAGCTAGTGTCGCCAAAAATCCTGGATCCGGTCCTGATAATATGAATTATTGCTCCATTTATAACAGGTTCTGGTGTCTACAATAAGAAGATCTTTGCTCGAGCCTTGTAAAAGACATTTTTCATGTCAGTGGCCCAGCACTTGCTTTAAAAATAAAAATAAAATCAACAGTGCTAAAAGTATTTCAAGGTACTTTGTTGTAAGGTAACATCAAATGAAAACAAAACTGTTATGATGATCTTTAATGCACTCCAAGAAAGATTATATATCCAGTATAGATGAATTCGTTTGTAAATTTTATGTACATCAGGAATGTCATAATGAATATTACTGCTGGATGATTGCAAAATTTTCTATCAAACCTCTTTTAAAAACACTTTATCTGTCCAGATGATGTTCCAAGAGCTAATGTAGTATACAAATCAGGCCACACCAGAAATAAATTTGCAGGCTAGCAGTGGATCGAACTGCTTGTCATGTCAAGAGGTGCAATGGGGTGCTGTTTTTTAGCATAAAAAGCAATTTTACACAAGAGTATACATTTTCTTTTTTTAAAGCTATTTTGCAAATAGAATAATAAAAGTTTGACAAGAAAGGACAAAAAAACAACGCAAAACCGGGTTTTTTGAAATGCTATCAAAAGGGGATATCCGCAAGAATAGAGGTTTCTGAAAATGCACTGGATCAATATGAACAAAAACCGAAGCAGTGTGAACAGTCACAATCACAAAAACGGGAATCTTTTACATTGATTCTTTGACACCGATAGCAGTGTTTGCGCACAAAAACGAAAATTTTCCTCTCCGCTTTTGTCCAAGAAAGAAACAATTTCAACGGGTGCTACATATCCACAAAAACGGATAGAAACAAAAACAGAGTAGTGAAGGGTAAAAACCACAAAAAGAGCATTTTTACTGGGTTTTTATCAGCAGTTTGAACACACAAAAACATGGGTTTTTGAAAACTCTTCAAAACAAATTTACAAAAATAGAAACAGTGTGAACCGTTAAAACCAAAAAAGCTATGTTTACTCATCCCGTTTCTGTGAGCACTGGGAACGCAAAAAAACGAACATTTACTTGTCAATAGACAGATTAAAGTGAAAACGAAGAAATGTAAACGTGCTAGCTATCCAATCTGATATGTTTCATACTGTTTTCGTATTTTCAAATGAAAATGTGAGTCAAAACCAATCAGATACTTGTAAACGACTGAATCCGATATCAAAATAGAATTTTGCAGTGCAAAGGATTATAAAACAAATGCAACATCCCCGCAGTAAAGCGCTCAGGTGCACTAAAAAGTTCTTGTGTAAATAGAGCCTCAAATCCAGATATAATTAAGACGGAAACGGTAACATGTAAACAGGCACAGGTTTTTTGTCAGATTGGGAAACAAAATATGATATGAAATGAAAATGCGACATAAAACGAAAATGCGATATGAAATCGTATAAACAGGGTCTCAGAATATTTCCTGCAAGGGTGGTAACTTACAGCCTTGACAAGGCATGCGATAAACCGCACTTCTTAGGGAAACAAGGCATGTGCCAAGGTGTGCGCGGGCGGTCATACATCTTTCCGAGGATGGCCTGATTCAAATGCTAAAAACCTAAAGTATTTCTAAACATTTTCAGTTGATTTGATTTTCCATTGCATTTTTCCATTGAGATGTGTTTGATTTAGCTTCCTTATGTTCCTGTGTTTTGATATACTGGCTTGGTATCTTCTATGTCATTTTCCTGGGTTACAAAATGTGTTAACTGATGAAACATTTATTTTTCACAACGAACCCTTTTGCCCCCGAACAAAGGCTGACATGGTTGGGTTTGTGTGAGTGGTGATGCGATCGCAGGTGATCACTCGCCTCAAACTAAAAGGCCTATTTGCTGCTTTTATAATTTGCATTTGTTGATTTTTTTCTTTGAATTTTTTTTGTAAACACAAAATATTTGGGTGTGTGAGTATGCACTTGAATTTAAGAATGCATTCCATATGTACAAGACGAGTTTTAGAATGCTCATTTAAAGGATGTTCATCAGTTTAATTGCCGCTACCTCCCTTTTTATCTCTATCTCTGTTCTTCTTCTATGTTTTCACTGGAAATGGTTTGCATAGTTTTGCTGCTGTAGCAAAGCTACAACAGTTTGAAGGACAATTGATGAAGATGATTATCCTGAATTGTTTGGCCAAATAGTTTTTGATCAAACTTTGGTAATGTTTTGGGGTTAGTAAACTGGCTTATCGGGAAGGAAAATGTGATGCAGAGAAGGGTCATAATACAGGGAAAATGTGAAACATACTATAGACTACACTACTAACAAAATCTACTTTACAACAGTATAAGGAACGAGGCCCTATGGAACCTTTTTTTGATGAGATCCAGGTGATGCTTGGAAAACAAGGAGAGACATTTTTTTCCAACATGCCAATGCAACGCCTCAGATGGCAATTTTACCAAAACTTATTGCATTTCCATAAGCTTTGTTTTCTTTCTTTGCCTTGATAAATCTCTCACATTAATATTATACAAAATGTCTTGCTAGGAATTGAAAAAAAAACAAATGAGTTCCTAACCACAATGTCCTCCAAGCAGGTGAAAACAACTGGTAGAATGAGTTTATAAAGAATGGAAGAGATTTCTTGAGCATTCCAACAAAAAACTCTACACCTCAATTCTAAAACAACTTAGATGGTTATCAAAGTGAAATATAGACATGTAAACAGTATTTTCCATTTAAATTAAGTGGGGGAAAGTGATATGCAAATGTTACCAAATTTTTTGTGCTAATGGAGGGTACTAACTTGCCATTGCAATTCATGTGTAGGTCATTTCAAACAAGTACAAAGGGAGATTTCTTGGTAAAGTTGGTCCAGTCAGCAGTGGCTCAGGATTTGTTGTCACAAGAGATGGGATGATTTTGACCAATGCCCATGTTGTTGCTGATGCCATGACAGTGGAGGTAAAAATGCCAGATGGAAGGAAATTTGAAGGGGTTGTCATTGATATCGACCCAGTCACTGATCTAGCAGCAGTGCAGCTTGTCAATGCAGAAAATGTAAGGACCAATTCATTTTATAATGTGGTGATTTTAATTTCCTAGTGGTTATTTTTTCTAATTTTTAATGATAACCCTGTTTTTATAAGTACTACACAGTATGCAACAAGGACCGAGAGCGATGTTAAAGTAGACAACTGATCATTCTATACACCAATTCGACTTACGGTCTTGCTTTGGAAATTTTCCCAAATTTCATTATTCAACTTTTTTAAGCTTAGATTTGGTTTTATTGGCATAATTTCAGGCTGGATACAATTTTTCATATCGTTTGTGCTTGTATTTTAGATTTTATGAAGGAACAAAGTTTGAAAATTTGTGAGGGATTTGACCGCAAAAATCAATCTGTGTGAAACTTTGCCCCCTAATTGCTAACCCTAATATAATTTTCATCATTAAGTCGTCATAAAATCAATATCTTGAGGAATACCATAATGAAAACTTTCAAGTAGACTGAAATCATTGCTCTCAATCCGAATCTGGGGTCAAAAATTTTGTACAATTTTGTATCCTATTATCAACATTTTGTATCCGGTTATCAAAATTATCACAACAGTATACATTCATTTGTAACTGAGTTTGGGAATAAAATCCTTGCTAAAAATGGGATTCATCTAAAAGTTCATTTTACTTTACCAGTCAGAAGAGCCAATAATAAGCAAGGAAAACCCAACGACTTCCTTGATATTCAAATCGATTTGAACATAATATCGATCCGTGATATAACTCAGTCTCTATCAGAAAAATTTTCAAAGTATACTTAGATTGTAAATCAGATTTTTAAAAAATCTTTGCCTAAAACCAGGCATTGCGGGACCTTGTTGTTGCATTGGGTCTACAATCCCCTTCTAATAAAATCAGTTTACCACCTTTTTATCAGGTCAGTTGCCATATTATCTTAGTTATGTTCAACTAACATATCAATCAACTGTAAAATACTAAATCTTTTAGATTAAGTTCCCTTGCTTACAACTTGGAAACTCTTCAAGGCTTAGAGCTGGTGAATGGGTGGCTGCACTGGGAAGCCCATTAACACTCAGCAACACGATCACTGCAGGCATTGTCAGCTCTTTGCACAGAGGTGGTGAAGAACTTGGCCTTCGTAACAGGGAAATGAAATACATCCAAACGGATGCAGCAATTAATGTGAGTAAAGTAATTTGGGAATTGAATGTAGGATTTTTAATATTGAAAGCAAGAAAGATTAATCTTGATTCCTGAAAAGATTCATTGATCCTAAAATTATGATTAATAGCCTTTGAAACTATTTGCCTGCAAAGCATCGTCATGTGATGGTCTTGTGATGGTTTTTATTTTTTCACAAGAGTTCTCTCTCTTTTCTTCAAAGGTTGGCAATTCAGGTGGCCCTTTGGTTAATCTGGTAAGTTAATCATTTTGGGTCGTTAAATAAAACTCTTTATCTGATATTAACCGTTCAAGATCTGACATAAACATAAAGCAACCATTAATTGTTTTCATTAAAGGGACATGGTGGGTTTTTTATTTGTTTGAAGTAGTGGCTTCTTCTTCATTATCAGTTCTATCAATGGTCGCCTGTATTAGACAAAAACATTGATATATATTATGATTTCTAAGAATAGATTTAAACCTGTTCATGATGTAATGATATAATCAGCGCGCGGGAATGCCACATGCTAACAATTACTTTAGTTTTGTGTAAGTCAGTAAAAATAATGAATAATCAAACTGGAAAACCATTCATTTTGGAAACCAAAGGAACTTTCGTAAACGTATTGAGCCGGAAAGTAAAATGCAAGATAAACCAGGAGATGGCCTGGCTTTAGTAATTCTACAATAAACACCTTTTGGAAAGACAGTAGAAAATCCGTCCGTTTTGTCAGGAGGCGCAAAGAGCGCTGTTGCGATCTCTGTCAATGCACTCCCTTCTTTTCTGTTTCGCGCCGATCTAATCGCTGCTGGAAGTCCTCTTCCTGTCCAGTTTTGGTTTTGGATGTCTTTCTTCCCGACGTTGCTAAAATGAGGAACTAGCGGAAAGTGCGCGGAACTAGCGGAACGACCAAAAAATGATCCGTAAGATGCTATCGCATGCTCATTTTGCGCAGTAAATGAACTGTCTTATGCAATCCTTGAAATTGCTTCATGTTAGTCTTAATTAGTGTATTTTCACTATTGTAGAAACTAACATTAAATAATCTACAATACAATTATACAATACAATCGCAAAACCTGTTGTTCGCAGCAGAACATATTTTGCAAAAATCACTCCTTTGGTTATGATAGCAAGAGGTTGGCATTTGACAGTGTTTAATGGTGAACCTCTGATAAAGATTTGATCTTCTTGTTTGGGATAAAGATATATTGGAAAAATTGACAAATTCATTGTTATATTCATTGTCATAGGTTGTTGTCAACGCAGTGCCTCTGAAGCTCTACGTTTGTTCTTGTATTCTTGTAGGATGGTGAGGTAGTTGGCATCAACTGTATAACGGTAATGGCAGCATCTGGTATTTCATTCGCAATACCGTCAGACACTGCAAGAGAGTTCTTAAGGCGTGCCAAAGAGCGTGTCAAGACTTTAAAAGGATCAGGGGGGTTGACGGCACCGAAAATTAAACCAAGAGAAAGGTTCTATATAGGTCAGGGTCACAATCTGTTTTACTTCATTAGTTTTTGTAACTTTTTGCTTCATTCTACATATCCTTTTTCAGATAAGATTGATGTAAAAAGCTTTCCTAGAGAATAAACTGTCCTACCTTTCCCCTAAAGTTTGCGAAGTTTAAGTAGAAAACGTCTCTTATTTACGTCATTCTTGCATCTTACGTCATTCTTGCATCTTACGTCATTCTTGCATCTTACGTCATTCTTGCATTTTACGTCATTCTTGCATCTTCATCATTCTTGCATCTTATTTCATTTGTGCATCTTAAATCGCTCTTGCATCTTATGTCAGTCTTGTATATTAAGTCGTTCTTGCATCTTACGTAACCTTTGTATCTTATGGAATTTCTTGAAACATCTTTAATCATTCTTGCCTACAACAGGCATATCAATGCTGACGCTGACACCAGCTATAGCAGAGGAATTACGGCAACGCAGCTCAAGGTACTCAAATGTTGAAGGCGGAGTATTCATTGCAAGCGTCGCGAGAGGATCGCCGGCAGATAGGTATGTCTTTGTGTTGTTATCTTCAAACCTGGCTCGTATTGGAGTTTTAAGCGATATGCACATAAAACCTTGAAGGAGCATGCGAGTATACTCATACCTCCTATCCTATCGTTCAAGGGCGTTTCCACCCATAGAAAATTCATCTTGCTTTTTGTTTGGTACCACCTTTCGCATACTTGCAAGCGACAAATTAAATTTGTAGTTTCCAGATTGAATGACAACGTTCTAAACAATTATGCCATCTCCGTTTGTAGAGCTGGTTTACGAACTGGTGACGTCATTGTGTCGATGAAAGGCAAGACGCTGCAGAATTCGCAGGAAATCTACGATGCCGTAAACAATGGAGAAAAATTTGAACTTGAAATTTTAAGAGGATCCTCCACGTTTAAAATTCATGTCAAGCCTGAAGTTGCTGGGAAGCTTTAAAGGATGTCTGTAAATGTATTTTGATAAATTGAAGTTTAGATTATTTGCTAAATTGTTGATGAGAGCCAAATTGTTATTTCTTTTCTCAAAAGCATTCGTATGATTGCCTGAAAAATGACAGCAATAAGATATGATGAGCGTTGAGATAATATAGCTGGTTACCACTTGAACTAGGCCTGCTAAGATCAAAGAGGTCTGGGCGCTGAAATGGTACCCAATTGTAACAAGATAGCGTATTTGATTGAATTGTACTGCTACAGCTTTCCCTAGATCTTGTATTGCTTTGCAAAAAGATTAGTTCTAGTCAAATGCCTTTGGAACATTAGTGTGCAACTGAGTCAATTTTCTAGTCTGTTCTTACTGCACTTGATAATCTAAAGAAAGATTACCTATTGTGGCCAGTTCACTTGGTGAAATATAACTGGTGTGAAGGCAATTCGCCATTAGCCGACAACAAGAATCGTCAGTATTTCTCTGCATTGCATGGAGCCATTGCTAAACCAGTGAACATTTCGTATCTCATCTAACCCATTTGTTCTCAAATAGCCCTCGACAGTCGACAACTCCCTTCAATAGATGTCCTTTGAATAAAAATTCAAAAGATTGAAAATGAAAGATTGAAAAAAATTAAGGATAGGAGACTGCTTTCTTTTGCCCATTGTTAACTTTTAAGGAGCTGTTTACATGAGCCAGTTAACTCAGAAGGAACTTTTTATGTGCGATCTCGGTTTCAATAGCATGTTCTGTGTTTAACAAACTTTTGATTTTACGAAAAACGGGCTAGACTGGTTAGCCGGAATCCCGCCTTCTGCCTACCGGGTTAGCCTTGCAAAGCGGGCTGAAATTGAAAGTTTTTCCTTATGTAATCGATTTGGTCTGCCCGCAGGCTAAATTTTAACAGGCTGGCTCGTGCATGACTAATTGAAATGGCGGAGAAACCGAAGACCGCTGCATCAAAGATTAAACTAAGAATGTAAATAAAATAAAAGATGTTTTAAGATTGAAGTGAACTGAGGATATAGTCAAAGAATTTCTGCAAGTACTTTTCAAATACAAGTGCATGATGGGATAGAGTAACTGATTACAATGCAGATACAACCATACGAAGCAGTGAGGACGAACCAAGCCATGAAGCTGAAGATCATAGATAGCATCAATATAAAGCAACTAGCAAGGATGTTTTACAAAGCCTTCATTATCAAAGTAACTTCCTGCTTCTTGGCAATGCATAAATGTTCCCCCTTTGCATCACATGTCGACCTGCACTCAGATTTCAGAAACTCGAGCACTTTAACCCCCTCCTTCGATTTCCTGGGGTCCTCATTGCTGTGCAGAAGAAATTTGATCAGTGCCCCACCCACCGGATTGTCGTCTTGAAAAATTTCTGTTATCTCCACATTTAAAGGTGCAGTAAAACGATCATAGGCTATACCAAGCTCCTTCTGTAACTCGGTGAGAATCTCATTTGTAGGGGTGAGCCCTCGTGACGTTTGTCCCATTAGCTGCACGTACATCCTGAAAGCCTTTTGTGTAGTTGAGTTTTCTTCCTCTTTAACAGTAAGAACTACCCCTTGATCTTCTAACAATAGGTTGTATGACTGCCTTAGTGCCAATCTCTCGTCTACGTAGTAGAGAGAGTTTATGAATGTTATCAAGTGGTATTTTTGAGGCTCTTCGATGCCCTGTTGCCTTGCCACAAAATCTTGGAACATTGCTGTTTCCCAGACGAACTTGACATTGCCACAATAGTCTTCGGTTGACTGTGCCTTTCTCTGAAACTCCTGGACTGATACAGAATTGGGCTCGACGACTGTCCAAGACATGGTTGTTCCTGGATACTGGGACTTTATTTCTTTCAGGATAGCATCTATAAGAAGCAAATCGAACGAACCATTTCCAGATCCCACTGAAAGAACTTTTAACTCATGCAAATCCCTGTCTTCAAGATTCAGCTTCGGAATCAATACTGGCATCAACTGATCACGAATCCAAGCTTTGTTTTGGTTGTCAAATCCACGATGCCACACTTTAATTATATCGTTATAACTTTGATAACTGTTGAAAAAGTCCGTGTACTCTTGCGATAACGGCATGTCTCCAATATGCTCCAAAGTTTACTCGTTGCAGCGCTGAGGCACTTTTCTGTGGCTGAGATATCAAGAGTCGAAATACAAGTTAATCCTACCAAGGCCACACGATACCATTCAAATGCCATTCAATGCGTCCTATTCATAGAGATCTCTATGGTCAATGTCTGGGAAACAGCATGCAAATTACTGGAAAAACCAGACCCTATGACCCTAGGACCCCTAGGACCCCTATGACCCTATGACCATTAACTACGAAGCACCAAAAAGGACCCTTAACTACTTCATGATTTACCGCTCCCCCAGAGCCATGCCTTCTAATGCCATTATGTTGACGGTGGTGAAGAAAGCAAACATTTAGTAAACTAAAGCTTCTCGTCTGACACTCTTCATAGTTTAAAACGTGAGAACATAGATCGAAAACTCTACGCTAGGAAATATATATACCCAGTTGTGGATCGAGATAGGCCAATCAGAAACACGAGCACATGACTGTTGAGGTTGACCAATCAGTGCCGCTTGCCTATTGAGAATGTTACCAATGGAGTCCTAAGATGAAAACGAACTCCTTTTTTCTACACAGTAGCGGTTTTTTCGTGTTTATGTAGATAGATTCCAAAACTGCTAGATGGAACGACGATCGGGCTTTACCAATAATCTGAAACATGTCGCCATTATAGTTTTTTGCACAATCTGGGTTTTCCAGTAATATTGCCCGATAGCAGAATCGCAGGTTTAAGTTGTAATTTTAGATCTGCAAGAAAACAGCCACCTCGGTCTATAGTGGCTGTATCTATATTTGCCACGCCCATTTTGCCAATCGCATCAAAGCACCACGCCCAAATTTTATTAAGAAATGTAGATCTGTAAAAATTTCTTATTTTAGGTCCTGGTTTGTTACCGAACAGTGCACAGTACAAAGTTTGTTCTTTATGCAATATATTTTTTCGGAACTTGTGCACCAAACGAAAACGAATTTCTAGCAAGGATAAAACTGTTGCTTTAAAGTGTTTACCGTCACAGTTGGATTAACCCCCCTGGGGGAGGGGGTGTAGAATTCAATACTTGATGCTGAAGAAAGAACTTTTTTATGTTGGTGTTCGAGGTTTTGTTGCTGACAATTTTTAGAACTTCTTAATTTAGAACAGCATAAATATCTCTCAACATGCAAAATTATATTCAAAATTGGGTGAGATATGACCGATGAAAGATTGCAAGTTTGCAAACGGATTGTTGTTATTCTGGCCTGGTTCATAAAGTTATCAACCAAGACCAAAGCCTGAGCTCATACGACAATGTCTCAGCCAATTTGTAACACATTCAACAAATTTTGTACATTGAGAGGTATTCATAATGCTCTTTTGGGAGTTATAGTCAAAATTAAAAAATCTAAAAGTAAATTTTGGTGACGTCACATCGAGTTTCTGAGTCAAATTGGGGCTAGCTATTTTTGGGCAGGTGAGCAGAGGCAAAGGTGCTTGATGTGAACGCTTTTCTCATGATAAGAGATGCTGATTTGTAAACTGATACTGATTATCATACTGATTTTTGTCAAGGATTATTTTCAAATAGGCATCGATATGCCAGAATTTTGCAAAATCTTTCAGCAACTGCCAAAAAATTTTGAGATTTCAAGATTTCTTTTCTAGATTTTAAGATTTCTTTTCAAGACTTCAAGATTTTTTAAGAAATTTTAGAGATTTTTTTGGTAATTTGGGAAACATATACGAGACTTTTAGAAGTGATTCATCCCCAGAAACAAAACTGCCACTCAAAGAGAATAGCTTTCTCGATCTTGTAGGTCTAGAAGCGCCGTTTCAAAAGAAGCGATTCTGCCATCGGCCAATATTGGTATGCTAGTAAGGAAACGTTTCGGTGCCATGTTGAGCGATACCAAAAAAACATATTTCAATTTATTGGATTATTCTCTCTCTGCTACTGAAACATTTGTCTTAGGGAATGGACTTTATCTTTGTAGATCACCCCAAACAATCAACAGAGAGGTTACACCGTTTCCATGTATGCTGATGATACCAGTTTGTGGTACCAGTCTCACGTTTTGACTCGGCTAAGTGAGGCTATTAATATTGAGTGACCTTAAAAAACTGGACACTTGGCGGCTACAAGGCAACAAGCTTTCCCTGAATATTGCGAAAACTCATTCCATGCTGATTTCTACCAACCACAACCTTCTCAAAAGTCAAAATAAAAACTTGATTCTGAAAATTCGTGATAATGAGCCTGAGGCAGTCAAAAAACAAAACACCTTGGTATGCAAATTGACTGCTCCCTGGATTGGAAAGAGCAAATCAAGGCAGTTTCTATGAAGGTCTCGAGGGCAGTTGGCTTTTTAAGGCATTGCCATGTCTTTTCTCCCTAAAGAAACATTGCAAACTTTTTACACAGGTATTGTGGAGTCCCACTTTTGATACTGCTGTTAGCTGTTCTGTCTGGGGCTGCGCCGGTTTAACTCAAGTTAATCAGTTACAAAAATTCAAAACCGTATGGCTATGATAATAACGAATAGCAGCTTTGATGCCCCAAGCAAACCTCTCATTAAAGGGCTGGGGTGGAAGACCGTTGTGGAACTTCTTTATGATGAATCTAAGACAATGGTCTTTAAGCCCCTGAATGAACTGGCTCCACAATACAGGGGCGGCGCCAATAAATTCAAAGTGGGGCTCGAGTTGAAAACGTTATTAAACTAAGAAAACAACTTTTGAAAAACGCACTGAAATGCTTCACGATATTCTATGCCTATGATTTTATGGGGCACTTGTTATGCTAGCGGTACACTGGAAGGCCGGCGAGTGGTTGTCGCAGGCACTAGGTATAACCAAAGAGGAGGCTTCCTTGCGAGCGAAGCGAACAGAAAATTTTTGCTACCACGCCCTCTAGACTAGCGTAAAAAACATTTCAGACTGCTACTCGCGGTCCTTTTTGCAAATATTTTGTATTTTTAAGGCATGGTTTTTTACGTTTGATTAATTCCAGTCTTAAAATGGAATTCATTACTTTATCGGGCACCATAGACCCCGGCTTATTCCTTTGAAATAAAGCAATACTGTAAAGGGATTTATCGCACTATTTTTTCTTCTACTTCTATTTTTTTCTATTCTTCTCATTCTCTCAAAAACACTTTTTTGCAAAAGAAGTGAGGGGGTTGCCGCCTATGCAATACCTGTGCGACCTTTTCACCTGAAATTCGTCCTGGTCATTATACAGCCTTCGGGATACGGTGACCGGCCTGAGGCTACCGATGAAAAGGTCAGCAAATGGCCAGTTTTCTCTTATAGAGGTGCAAAAGTATGGAATAGCCTGTCCGCCGAGTCAAAGCAGGCTGCCTCTCTGAATAGTTTCAAGAATGGTCGTGGTTTGATCGTACCAAGTTGCTGTGAGTTGATATTTGGAATTGAAATTGAATAGAATGCAAAAAATTCTACTTCCGTACTGTCATATAAACTTCCCATAATTTTCATTCAGGGTTCGTTTGATCAAATGAAAGAAAATTTACAGTTTGTTACAAAATATAAAAAAAACCTTTTCTTGTCAAAATTTTCATCAAATAGCTTTCAATTGAAGTAGAATACGCAAATGTAAATGCAGAATTTCAATTTTTGTTCACTTTAAATAGAAACACTTTTCTACATTAAAACCTAAATACACCAAATCAAATTCAAAACCTAAAATTAGCACCGTCAATCCATCATATAAGAGATGCCAGTTGCGATTCAACAGTCAAACGAGACATCTTATGAAAAGTGAGATAAGAGGTATGAATATCCTTTTCGCAATATCATATCCAAAATGAAGAGTATGTTAAGAAAACAATCTGATTTCGTTAATAGAAGCGATAGAGAGTTAGAAAAGCCAATCCACCTTGAAAAGCCTAAAAAGAACGCTTCAGCAGGTACAGTAAAAGCTTTAGGTTGCTTCAAGAACTATGGGATTTGCTGAGCGTTATCAACGGTCATACTGTCTGGTATTTAAAAAAAGTACCTTCCCTGCCCTGCAGCAGACTCAAAGATATACCTGCTGCTACTCTTTGGTGAAATAGAATTACTAGGTTGTATTCATATCAAGATGATTCTATGAAGTAGCTTAGTTTTCGTTCATAGCCTTCTCTCGATTGGTCGGCAAAAGGTTACTGTCTACTTTTCTTGATAACAGTAAATTTAAAAGAACTCATTAAACCCTGGACAGGAAATAGTGAGATTTAACGGTATGGTTCAGCCCTTCTAACGTATCCTGCAAAGCACAAAATTTGCTACAGTCCAACTGAACTTTCGGGAAATCATGACCTTCTCAACACAACGCCAACTGACCTGGTTCGCAATATTTGCACCACTTTAACCCATTCGAGCCAAAGAACGTCTTGGCCAATCAAAACCTGATCTGTTGTGCCTGTTTTGGGTCCATCTCCATTGGGCAGTAAGGACACTTCAACCTTGAAGCAAAAAACGATCTAATGGAATCATTACACAAGAAACAAAGCTGTTTTCAATAAACATTCTAATTTAGCTGATTGATTCTATGTTTACATCAAAAGCTAAAATCCTAAACTCACAGATACCTTAGCTGCGTCAATTTGTCACTCCTTCAAACCCTCCACACACGAAAAATTTCAGGCCGGCCTGAAACTCAGATCTGCCTGAAATTCATTTCAGTCTGCGGTCTGAGCCCTTGAAGTGCTCACATGAGAGGGCGAAATGAAACTCAGGTCCACCTGAATTTGTTTCGTTTGTTCAGGTCGGTCTGAAATTTTAGGTCGACTTGAAATCCACATGTGAGCAAAAATTGTTTCAAATCGGTGCGAAATGGAGCTCATGGAGAAATATAAATTTCCCACTGGGATGCAAAATAAAATTCTTGGATACAGACCGGCCTGAAATTGTCCATGGAAGATGCAGTCTTCACGAAATGTATGTTTTATGAATATATGTTCTATCGGCTATATAGTCATGCTGCATAGCGGGAAGGTAACAACGACCGATCAGCGGTATACAAAAATCCCACAGGGGCGTACAAAAAAGGTCATTTCCTCGCCGGAATGGAAACATTCTACACAACATTAACTAGCAGACATATATAAGCAAAAATCATTAAAGAGACGGTGATTTTGACAGAGCAACAAATTATTGGCTGCAGAATGAGCACATCAATCTGAAACATACTTTTGCAGGGATAAACTACTATATACGAAGCAGCTAAGAAGAAGATTACAACTTACTTGTTTCCGGTTACCAGTTTATTGAGGGCGTCTTTAGAGATTGCATGGCCACAAACCAGTCTCATTGGAGGGTTGGTACGGCCGCATTGCTGACGTAATATCGGGCAAGCGAATATTGAATGGAAACGATAGTCATTCTTCAGCTCAATTTCAACCTAGAATAAAACAAATCAAGACATTGCTTTTGCCAACAAATAATTGCATCAGCTCATCAAAATGGAAAGGTTGCTCGTTTGTATTATTAATAGGGCTCCATTCTATGAAAAGAGCCCTTGAAACAGGCAATCTGTTAAGAAGGCACCCTGCCTCTAATCAGAAAAATGAGAATTAGAACAGAAGAAAAAATACTATTACAAAATAAACATTGAAACGTTTGCTGCCCTTGTGCACATCAATCAAAAGCTCTTTATACTCCTTAGGGGTAACGGTGAAAATGGTTACACTTCATAGCGTGCATTTCGTAGTTTTGAGGCGCATTGTTGGTTAATGGTTGCAAAACAAAAGAAAAAAACAATGTCTTTATACAAAAAATGAAAATACCGGTAATTCCTCCTTGGAACTCCACACTCCAGTGCACTGTCGCTGTCTCGTTACTTGCTTTATTTGAAGGAGGGTAGGAAGAGCAATACAGCCGGTGGTGACGCTGCGCAGAAGAAGTCAAGTTAGGATTTTTAAAATCATACGTATAAAGAGGCATTTGAAGATGGGCAGCACAAAGAACTCAAGGCTATTTCAAGATCCTGGACCGAATAGGAAGACTTGAAAAAATAGCCATAATCATATATGAAATAATACATCTTATTACTTGATGTTTCGTCACGGTTCAAATACAGGTGAGGGTGTCTTCAGATAAAGGTGTTGATTCTTTATTCCGCAAAAATAATCGTTTCTTTCGAAATAGCTATTTATGATCAGTTTGATATCTCTTAGAAAACAATCAGTCAATACTCCCAAATGAGCAATTTCATGATTTCGACAGTTCCATTAACTACACTTCAATTTTGCTTCCACGGACCAATTATGACAAAAACAATTTCCAGTGACAAAAAGCAACTGGAAATGCTATACTGATTTTAATAAATTTGTGGATGTTTAGTTTTACTCGATTACACTGCTTCTTGCAGAACAATCTTTTCTTTCAGCTTTTTCGGCGTTGTTTTTTCAAATTTAACTATAAAAGGAAACACTTTCGAATGTCTTTCATAGAGACATGTGTCTACCACATCTGGCAAACGTTTCGTCTCAAATTATTTGAAACATTGTGCACGCACCTGTACCTGACAGAATGGGTTTTATTCTAAAAAAAGTTTTCTATTGACAACTGGCTACATTACGACCAGAAATGAAAATAATATATAGATGTTATTCATCGATAGATATTTTTAAAAGACGACGAACTATTTTCAAGACCCCAACATTGATCCGAGACCAGTAAAAAACACCCCTAATTAAACTACTTCAAAGTGCTTATTTCCCTTGGAATTAATGCGCAGGAAAAGCATTTGGAATCAACTATAGCCAAAGTGCGTTTGGCATCAACTATAGCCAAAGTGCGTTTGGCATCAACTATAGCCAAAGTGCGTTTTGCATCAACTATAGCCAAAGTGCGTTTGGCATCAACTATAGCCAAAGTGAATTTGGCATCAACTATAGCCAAAGTGCGTTTGGCATCAACTATAGCCAAAGTGCGTTTGGCATCAACTATAGCCAAAGTGCGCTTGTCATCAACTATAGCCAAAGTGCGTTTGGCATCAACTATAGCCAAAGTGCGTTTGGCATCAACTATAGCCAAAGTGTGTTTGGCATCAAATATAGCCAAAGTGCGTTTGGCATCAACTATAGCCAAAGTGCGTTTGGCATCAACTATAGTTTTGGAATCAACTATAGCCAAAGTGCGTTTGGCATCAACTATAGCCAAAGTGCGTTTGGCATCAACTATAGCCAAAGTGCGTTTGGCATCAACTATAGCCAAAGTGCGTTTGGCATCAACTATAGCCAAAGTGCGTTTGGCATCAACTATAGCCAAAGTGCGTTTGGCATCAACTATAGCCAAAGTGCGTTTGGCATCAACTATAGCCAAAGTGCGTTTGGCATCAACTATAGCCAAAGTGCGTTTGGCATCAACTATAGCCAAAGTGCGTTTGGCATCAACTATAGCCAAAGTGCACTTGTCATCAACTATAGCCAAAGTGCGTTTGGCATCAACTATAGCCAAAGTGCGTTTGGCATCAACTATAGCCAAAGTGTGTTTGGCATCAAATATAGCCAAAGTGCGTTTTGCAGCAACTATAGCCAAAGTGCGTTTGGCATCAACTATAGCCAAAGTGCGTTTTGCAGCAACTATAGCCAAAGTGCGTTTGGCATCAACTATAGCCAAAGTGTGTTTGGCATCAACTATAGCCAAAGTGTGTTTGGCATCAACTATAGCCAAAGTGCGTTTGGAATCAACTATAGCCAAAGTGCGTTTGGCATCAACTATAGCCAAAGTGCGTTTGGAATCAACTATAGCCAAAGTGCGTTTGGCATCAACTATAGCCAAAGTGCGTTTGGCATCAACTATAGCCAAAGTGCGTTTGGCATCAACTATAGCCAAAGTGCGTTTGGCATCAACTATAGCCAAAGTGCGTTTGGCATCAACTATAGCCAAAGTGCGTTTGGCATCAACTATAGCCAAAGTGCGTTTGGCATCAACTATAGCCAAAGTGCGTTTGGCATCAACTATAGCCAAAGTGCATTTGGCATCAACTATAGCCAAAGTGCATTTGGCATCAACTATAGCCAAAGTGCATTTGGCATCAACTAGAGAAAAAAGTGGGTTTGTCATCTACTAGAGCTTAATCAAGGGTAAGAGCCTGCAGTCATTAAAGTCCTTCTTTTTGAAATCCACGGTCATGTTTCGCCGTCTGGTTTTTTGCCAATTTTTAGTTAGATGCATGACATCTTTTAAAAAAATAACAGTGCACCAGAATTGGTTAAGGTACGTCCTACTAATTGTGTAAGGAGAATGAGTCACTGTGTTTTTGAAAGACGTACTGGTTTAGTAAAAATATTAAATGGCCGTGTCTTACTGGTTTAGTAAAAATATTAAATGCCGTGTCTTACTGGTTTAGTAAAAATATTAAATGGTCGTGTCCTACTGGTTTGGTAAAAATATTAAATGGCCGTGTCTTACTGGTTTAGTAAAAATATTAAATGCCGTGTCTTACTGGTTTAGTAAAAATATTAAATGGCCGTGTCTTACTGGTTTAGTAAAAATATTAAATGGCCGTGTCTTACTGGTTTAGTAAAAATATTAAATGGCCGTGTCTTACTGGTTTAGTAAAAATATTAAATG